AAACTGACCAGCGGCTGACTACAGGAAGTCCGAGGCAGAGTTGCTCTGCCCCAGGCTTCCTGGAGTCAGCCGCTGATCAGTTTCAGCAGCAGCTGACTTGGGGACACCTGGGTTTCTTAAGTTGAATCTGTATGTAAGTCAGAACTGGCGTCCAGATTCAGCCACGGTTGAAACTGATCAGTTTCAGCAGGGGCTGATGCCAGTTCCGACTTACATACAGATTCAACTTAAGAACAAACCTACAGTCCCTATCTTGTACGTAACCCAGGGACTGCCTGTAGTTTCTCATGAAGTTTCTTTGTAATCAATGAGGTGAAGATCCTGAGGAGGGAAAAATAGTGTATGATCATGTAAGTAAAGACAATCATGCAGTAGGAGGCCAAATTAAAGTTGCATGAGCAACCTTAATTCTGGCATTTCTTAACTTTTGAGCGCTTGACACTGTAACCTTGTAATGTTCTTAGAACAGTTGACAGTTCCTTTCCTCATTAAAGCAATTCTACAACACTCAGGTTTTTTATCATGCTGCCCCATTACATGATGGTACGTATAATATGAAAATCCTTATCAATCAAAAAATTTAATCAAAAATTTAAACAGGGCCCAGATCTTTACACAGCATGTATGCAAAACTCGTACATGCAGTTACTATGAATGCACACACACTTTTGTTAATTTCATGGACAAACAATCAGTTACATATCTAACTGGACATTTATGTGCACAGTTACTAAACAGGCATTTATGGTAAAAGCTCTTTGAAAATAATGCATACATATTTTCATTTCTCTGACTGCACGTATACAGCTCTAAAAATCAGGCCTCAAAAGTATTTCAGAAGAATACTTTTATCCCCGATGTGACTCCATTGAATTCACCAGAGATAACTAGGATGAATTTCACCAAAGATGCTAAGTCACTTCTTGACCAGAATTGAGAGAATCCTATTTAAACCAGCAAGGTTTTGATAGAATGTTAGTCACATATTGACATCTGAAGTTGAGAGGTGAGACAGGTGCTACCAGTATATCTTTTCTGACACATGTATTTCTGGCTATAAAATCCTTCTTTAAGACTCTGTGAAGTAAAAAATGAGAGTATTCCTATCTGAGAATAGCAAAATGGAAATCAGTAGAGCTTGAGATCTCTCTTATCTTTTAACTCAGTATTCGATAGACTTAGAGGTATAACACTAGACTAGACACAACAAGATGCTGTTACCAAAAAAAAAATGGATTGTGGAGTTTTCACAAATGTGGAACAAAGGCCTGTGCTTCTCTGTGCTTCCCCTATGATTTAGAAGTTTACTTAGTCTGGTTTCTAAGAATAAAAAAAAAAAAGTGTTTACAGCAAAAGGCTAACTTTCCTTTTTTACTCCACAAATAAGTAAATATGTCAGTTCTTATGCTTAGTATCATGGCTGACATCTTACACTGTGGGAATATTCCCCTAACAATATGGAACACGTTAATTTCCTGTAGGTGCGTACCTAACCATAGTACAGGTAAGATGGAACAGCTCACTTGGACAGCTAAATTTTTTCCAGCCCCAGGGGGCCCTAAGGAGTTATTAAACATCCCAGATCTTACTCAAGTGTACAGCTCTAATACCAGTTTTATATCATGGTAACATTAACCTTGAACAGAGAAACTTCTTATTTTAAAAATTAAGGAAATTCCGGAAGGAAGTAGATAGATATTAAATGAAAATTACTTTTAAGTTATTACATATATACCACTGTAGCATACCTGGAGCTATACCACTCAATATGTTCCCTCAGACAAAAAACGTATATTCTACAGCATATGTTTTCAGCTATGCCCAATATCTTCTGTGCTTAGCTGAGAGGGACACAAAGCACACAAAGGCAGCTATGACACTGTAACCAGTTTTATGCCAGTCTCAACAGGTTGCAGTGGCGTAGCGAGGAGGGGATTGGAGGAGCAGTTGCCCCCAGGCGCCATGCTAGGGGGACACCAATTTAGTCCCCCTCCACTCCCCCATCATCCCTCGGCTCAACTCCTCTGCCCACCGGCAGTGGCTGGAGCCTCCTTTCCGCCCCAAGCCCGACCTTCCACCATCTTCGCCAGCAGATTAGTACATGCCGGGGCATGACCCCAAACTGGAGGGGTGAAGGGGGGGAAGACACGGAACAAGCTTCCCCCCCTACTCCCAAGTTGGGTTCAGCTGTGCACCATGTTCGGAGTCCTGCCACACGGGCGGGGGTGGGGGCGCAAATTTTGCCTTTGCCCACAGGCGCATAACACCCACGCTACGCCTCTGACTGGGTACATGATATTGAACCTTAAATACCCTTATGGCATTTAAAGAAAACTATTTCACCCTTTACAGTTTTCTTTATCCTTGTGTCTTTAATTGTTTTGTCTGTTAACTATGTGTATTTTATTTGTTAATGGCAGTGGCAACAACTCCTCTGTTTTGCACTATGGACATGCTGGAGCCCCAAATGACAAGACTATTGATGATGGAGACTTGTGGTAAGTTAAAGGATTTTTGTAGTGTTATTTCTTATATACCTCTCAAAAGAAACATTGCATCTGAGTTCTGTTAGTCATAATTAGAGCAGTGGAAAGATGGCCACCTAAGGATTAGGGTCCATATTTTTTAAACATGTTGCACAACTTTGTGTGACTTGGCTTTTTGGGTGCCAAACTTGATCTGTTTGTCTCTTTTTCTTCAGGTGTTCTGGGTACCTGTGTCCCCAGTTAGTGGGTGGTTTGGGGAGGAAGGACCCAGATTTCAAACACTTAGTTTCAGGGTTTTGATTTAGACATTATAGAGATGAATGTCAATAGCAAAATCTAGGTCCAGGTTTGTATTTGGAACTTCAAAAGAGATGCTTGAATCTGGGGTTTTAGTTCAGGTCCATATCTGTTCTTTTTGTGATTGTTAGTTAAATAATTAAATGTGAATATTAACTTGATCTCTGTAATGTGGTACATGTATGTATATTTTAGTAATGACATTGTAGCTGAAACTGTGCAAATATAGCCATTATTGAGTTAAACTGATGTCAAATAATGTCTATGAGTTTATAAAAAGCAGAAGATATAGTGCATGATATAAATGAAAAGCAGCTTTTGTATTTTTCCTTTCAAGATCTAGGTTGGGGGTTACATTCATAGAAAAAGAAGTCCACCTAATTAACTTTAGGGGAAATAATCATAGACGTTAAAGATCGAAAACATCTAGTAGATTATCTAGTCCATTTCCGTATAATTCCAGGATTGCTCCCTATAGCATATTCAAAAGGAATGGGGTGTATATTTTCACATTTGTTTGCAAAGGTATAGAAAGCATATTAATAAACTCAAAAATCTATTAAGGAAAACTAGGAGACTGCTCACTATGCATGCCAACCCAAAAGCGGCCAGAGAACCTGATGATGTCATTCTGTCACTCAACAGGAAAAAAAAATTATATATAGAAAGAGAAAATGTATTATATAACACACAGATATTCCTCTTTAGCTAATATCACAGGCACATTAGAAAATGCAGCAGTATGAAACAGGTGGATAAAGTCTTTATTAACAGGGTGCAAACATTTTAAAATGATTATTTTTGTGTCTATTATTCTTGTCTGAATAGTCTGCTGAAAGCCATCCAGTGTTCTGCTCTGTTCTGGTGTGTCTCCATTTTATATTAAAGTGTATGGTACACTATAAGAAGTTTATCATATCATAGTGACTAATAGGTAAGATATATGAACATGATACAGTAGTGGCTAATAAATTATACCAAGGTTACCAAATGTCAGCATGCAGCATTCAGAGAATCCATAAAGTGATTACTGAAGGAACAAGAATTGTTCTCATAATATATATTATAATGTATTTATAATTTAACTAAAAGTGTTTTTAAAGAGGGGAGGAAATATTAAGTGACTTTTTAGGCCAATCTTATAAATAGAGCCCACTTATTTATGATCTAAAGCCTTGAACATCCTCTATGGCTGTGTGCTGGACTGTGAAAAGACTTTCCTAGGGCCTGATCCAGCAGTCCATTTAACTCTGTGAAAAGACTTTCATACACTTCAGTGGACTTGGGATCAGTTTCCTAGTGAACAAGAAAGAGTCCAAGGAGGAGATTTTTAAAAGTGTCTAAGCAATTTATGAACTTTAGAGCTACTGACTTGCAGTGGCACTTTGGGTCTTAAGTGCCTGTCACTTTTTAAAGTGAGACTTAGGCACACTTCTGTGAGTGTTAACTCATATCACGCATCCTTTGTAGCAGCCTCAGTGGAGCAAGGATTAGCATTTATCCTCAACAAAAAACAGGAATGGTTTAATAGGTGATGAGCTTTCATGGGCCAGACCCACTTCCTCAGATCAAATAGTGGAAGAAAATTGTCACAACCATATATACCAAAGGATACAATTTAAAAAAATGAACACATATAAAAAGGTCAAATCAAATTTCAGAACAGAAAAGGGTTGGGGGGGGAGAGGAAAGAGGGGAAGGTAAATGTCTGTGAGCTAATGATATTAGAGGTTATAATTGGGGAAGCTATGTTTGTAATGGGTGAGATAATTAGCATCTTTATTCAAATTTGAGTGTAAAGTGTCAAATTTAAGCATGAATGACAGTTCAGAGGATTCTCTTTGAAGTGAAGTCTTAAAAGGTCTTTGAAGCAGGATGCAGGTAATCAAGTCATTGAGACAATGTCCTTTCTGGTTGAAATTGCAAGAAACTGTTTTTTCTTTGTGATCCTGTGTGATATCTGTTTTGTGGGCATTGATCCTTTGGCGAAGTGTCTGAGACATTTGTCCAATGTACATAGCGGACGGACACTTTCGGCACATGATTGCATAAATTATATTTCTGGATGTGCAGGAATATGTGTTCTTGATCTTATAACTCACTTGGTTGGGTCCAATAATGGTATCAGCAGAGTGAATATGTGGACAAAGCTGGCAATGGGGTTTGTTGCAAGGGAAGGTACCAGGGTTGGTATTAGTGTGGTATGTCCTGTGGTTGTTGGTAAGAATCATCTTGAGGTTAGATGGTTGTCTATAGGAGACTATGGGTCTGTCTCCCAGAGTCTCTTGGAGTTTAGTATCCTGTTCCAGTATAGGCTGTAGTTTATTGATAATGTGTTGGACAGGTTTAAGTTGGGGGTTGTAGGTGATGACAAGTGGTGTTCTATTGTTGGTTTTCTTGGGTCTGTCTTGAAGTAGTTGGTTTCTAGGTATTCGTCTGGCTCTTTCAATTTGCTTTTTTATTTCTCTGGGTGGGTAGTTGAGGTTTATAAATGCTTGGTAGAAATCCTGAAGTTTCTGGTCTCTGTCAGTGGGATTAGAGCAGATGCAGTTGTATCGAAGGGCTTGGCTATAGATGATGGATTTGTATGGTGTGTTCTTTAGCCTCAGGTATTCTCTCACCAAAGTGATTTTGCAAAATGTTTGTTTAAAATAAGTAAAGTTGGTTGGTTTTAGCTTCTGTATGCTAGCTAAACCTGGCTTCAACTCAACTTTTTTAGCTCATTTTTATCTGGCCATATTCTCACATAAACAGAAGGTTGGGCTGCAACTTAACTAGCAAAATCTAGCTAGAAATAAGAAAAGTTTATATCAGGCTTTCCTAATATATGTTAACCATTTTTTATAGTTCAGACAAAACTCAAAGATGGGTTGAGACTTACTGTTGGCCCAGTGATAGTGTTCTTGCTCTATATTGTACCTGCTGTGTGACTAGAGCACTGTTTCTCAATGTGGTTGACGGACCCATTCCGAGAGAGCTGCTACCAGACCACTCTGGTTTATTTACTTACCGGCTCTGCAGCCACAGATTCTTGCAGCTCCTGGGCTGCTGCTTCCTGCAACTCCCCTTGGCTGCAAATGGCAAACCGCAGCTAATGGGTGCCGCAAGGCTCCATGGTTGCAGAGTGTGTAAGTAAACAAACCGGAGCAGCCTGGTAGCAGATTTCTCAGAGTGGATCCACGGACCACTTTGAGAAACACTGGACTAGAGAATTTCAGTCTCTAGTGATGGCAGGCTGTGCTTTTGTTATCTCTGTACTGTTTAATCTATTTTAATGTGGAAAAGAAGTAACAGAATACTGGCATGACAGTCTGATCCTTTTCGTAGTCAAGGTATGAAATTTAATAACATTGTGTAAGAATATTTTTAAACTTTCTCTGTTTTGTAGGCAGCACTTTGAAATCACTTGAGCTACCTTGCTGTAGCATAGTACAGCACATTTAGGCAACTGGAAACTTCAGAGTATTTTTCTCTAGATATTCTATCAAATTTCTAAGTTTTCATCTTGAAATACTCATTTGTTTAGGCATTAATGAGCAACACATTTAGTAACAGCTCTTATTTTGTTATAAATTGTCACATTGAAAATTCTATATATTCTAATCATGAAACTCCTACATATTGTTACATGTAAATATTTTTATTTTAACAAACCTATAAATTCTGCTATTTGACTTCCCATCATTTTTTATGGCTATTGGGAGCCCTCTGTTGGAAAAGATTGGAAAATCCTGTAGTACAACAGAGAAGAGTAAGAGGAACAACTGGATCTCTCTTTCTGGTTAGATGCTGATAGATTATTTCTGCTTCTCCCAGTATATTAATACATAACTTATTAAATGAATCATACAAGATCTAAAGTAAGATTTTGGTAGGAAAAGTATGATTTATATGAAATATTTTTCAATTGAATTATATCTGTGTTTCCCTAGAAATCATTGTATTCTCTTGATACAAGTAGAATTCTGCATGTGTTATAAATATGTTCTATCATCTTAAATATTAAACAGTATATTGTAATCAACGTTCAAGTCAGCAAACCATCTGGATGCGGTAAAACCTGAATTTGGAAGAAATAATTTATTTGTGATGCAACTTTTTTCTATAGAACATCCCTCTTATTCCTTTTTGTACTCTTCCTTTTCAAAATGTGGCCAGTTTAGAATTCCCTAATTTGCAATACCAAGCTATGAAAATTAATCTACTTTTAATGTGATTGTGGGTTCTGTAAGAAATCAATGCAGAATTGATTCAGATCTCCAATAATACATCAAAATTGATCAGTATGCAAAGCCTGGGCTAGAAGATTTCCATGCAGACAAGGGCTATATTATATAGTGGAGACACCTACTGAGCACTCCCTTATGGCCAAGTGTGGCTTTTCTGTGGCCTACCTTGGTTTTATCCCTCAATAAAATTTCTTAAAGAGCCTGGTCAATGAGATGCCAAACACTCTGCTTTACAACACTATATCTCCCTTTAATAAAGCCTTCTGAAAGGAACACTTGTACATTGGTTCAGAAGCTTTTACCGCAAAGCCTAGATAAAACTTGAAAGTTCCCTAAAGTCTCTAGATTCCAGCACCAGCTTCTTCTGCTATAAAGCCTCGAGCTTCTCCATTGCTTAGTGGGCTCTCCTCTTTGTTTCCTCTGCTTGTTCAGGATCTCTCCTAAGCCTCCATACCTGGAGAGCTTTTTCCTAGTTCATGTTCCCTTGGGAGGTCTCCTCCTCTGG